AATATATTTTTCTTTAATATTTTTTTTTTAATTTTTATTTATTTTATTTATTTTTTTGTATTATTTTTAAATTTTTTGTTTCTTTTACATATTATACATTTTTTTTTGTTTATTAACAACTAAAATATTTTAATATTTTTAGGATCAAACGAAAAAACAAATATAAATAATAAAAAATTTGAAATTTTTCTTGTAAAAATAAAAAAATGGCATTTTAATTATTTTAAGAAAATTTATTGTTGTAAAAATATAATTTTCCATTTCTTTTATTAAATTAATAAAAAATAAATTGAATACAAATTACAAAATATACAGATTAATAAAATAAAAACAAATCTCTTATAATATCCGATAAGTTCTGTGACAAAAAATTAAAAAGACAGAATAGAAAGTATAAATAGTTTCGACTTTTGTAATTTAGTTAAAAAGTTTACACTTTCTTTTAAAAATATTTAAATGATTATCGTGGATAAAACACAATTTATATAAATTTAAATTCTAATAATATTTTTAAAATAAATTTTACTATATTCTCTTGAAAACAGCATTTGTTTTTAAAATAAATTTTTAATCAACTTTTTCTAGATATTTTTCTTTTTTCAATTTAATTTAACCAACTTAATGATGAAACAACTGTTTCGAATTTAGTCATACTTTTTTGTATAACTTTGAATATGAAATTTTCAAATATAAATATAAATATCTGGATTTTTTGGGCCAAATTGATTTATAGATTCCTAAGATTCCTAATTCTTTATTGCCACAGAATTATAATAGAATAATTTAGATTTATAATAGAATAATTAACATAGAATTATAGTAAAATAATTATAATAGAAAAGAATAAATTAAAATATTTGATGATGATGATAAAATCTTAAATAATTAATATTCAAATAATATATTCGGCAGTTTGAAAAAAAAAAAATTATAAAATATAATAATATAAAAATTAAATACTTTTTAAATTAAATTAAGACACAAACAATCAAAACATTAATTAACAATAATTCAATTTACAACAAATAAATATTCTTAAAAATTTTTAGAATTTATCTGTTAATTAAATAATATAAATGTGTTTTAGAATTTATATGTTAAATTTGTTTTAGAAATTTTTTATATTTCTAAAACTAATTTAATAATAGAATGATTTTTATATTTCTATTTATTTATTTAATTTTTGTTTTTAATATTTTTCTTTTGCAAATTGACTATAATTTAATGGAATTAATTTTGTTTCTTTTTTTTTTTTATGTTTTTATTTCTATTAATTTATTATTATAGAATAATGTTCTGTAATAATTATATAATATATAGGTAGAGTAGCTCAAGACTATTTTTTTCAGTTTTTTGTTTTTAATTTTACTATAGGTTAATATTTTTTGCAAGAATTACATAATTATATTGTAATAATTACTGACTAAGTGTTCTACTATAGGATTTTGTAATTTCTTTATGTATAGTTTAGTTCTATTTAATTTTCAATTTGAATTTTTGTTTTCTTATATATTCTACATATTATATATAATATATGTATATATTAGAGAAAGAAGAGGAATATTAATAGAATTTTTTTATTTAAAATTATTACAGAAATTTGAAATTTAGGATAAAAATACTGGTATGGTGTACAATAGGTTTTCTGTTTTATTTTATTTATAAATATGGAGAAATAGAGAATTTATATTTAAATAAATTTCACTGTTTTTTTTTTTTAATACGTTTTCATAATTATTATAATCAGTATTTAATTTTATTCATTCTTATATTATTTTCGGTTTAAATTAAAAATTTAAAAAGAGAACAAAATAAAAAAAAAAAATTTATGAAATTTATGAAAATAATTCGATTAAAATATTTTAATTTTTTTAATTATTCAAAATTAATTTTTTTGTTCATATAATTTTCATTATTTATTTTATTAACTAATCAATATTACTTAGTTATTTAATATTTTTATTTTAATTATTTTTTGTGTTTTATACATGTAACTATCATTACTAACTAGAGTAAAATTATTTAAAAACTTTGCTTTTTAAATATATATATTTTTTATCACCATTTTATTTATATTTTGCTTATTCTTCAAAAAAATAAACATAAAAAATTAAAAAAAAAAAAAAAAAAATTAGATTATAAAAATTTTACATATTATATTAATTTGAATTTATTAATTATTATAAATTTTTATAATAATTATTAATATTAGATAATATTTAATTTTTGTAATATGTAATCTTCAAAATGTTTTGTAACAAATTTTCATGATTGCATACATTTCGGAAAAAAAATAATTTTCAAAAGTTCTTGTTCTTGCAAAATCTATATTTTATAGTAGGTAGGTACTAATACATATTTATTTTTTATGTAATTATATTTATTTTTATAGCATCTTTTTATTTTGTGCGCCTAGGACTGAAGTAGTTCTTAAAAAATTGAAATTTTATTAACATTTTACTTATAATAATTACATATATTTTGTTTTATTATAAATTGTATGAAATAAACATTTATAAATATAAAAGTTATGTATTTATTCTCAATTTAATTTTTTTTTATACATATTTTTATTATTATTTTCTATAAATTTGAAGACAATTCCCTATTACATTACAAATAGAAGAGTTATTTTAACAATGTTGTTCTTATAAAAAAAATATTTATCCTAAATGTATGCAATATAATTTTTGTAAATAAATTTTCTATATTATTTTTATTATTTTTTTTATATTTCAATGAAAGGTTAATTAAATTGTATACTTTGTGAACTGATATTTTCTGTCTTACTAAGATTGTAATTGAAAAACTATTTGATAAAAATAATTTCAAATAAAAATATTCGTTTTTTTTTTGTTTTTAAATTATTTAATAACTTTTAAAGAAAAAAACAAAAATGTGTTCTTTCTTTCTTTAAATAAAATTTTATATTTTTTACATTTTTAATTTACAAATTATTTTTATATAACGAATGACTTGCTATTTATTTGACTTAAAATAAAAAAAAAAATAAAAATTATTATTTGAACAATTTTAATATTTTTTTAAAAGAATGTGTTTTGAAATAAACCACATAAAATTTAGTTGTGATTTTCAATAATTAATGACTGACCTTACTTTTTTTTTTAAGAAAAAAATTGTTATACATATTTTATATTTAAATCTACAAATAAAAAATTATATAAAATAGTAAAAAAAAATAGTTTACGAGCATTTTATTAAAGAAATTAAATTTAGAAAAATTATTATTTTCACAAATAAAATTATTCCAATTAAAATTAATTTTTATAATAAAAAAATTTATAGAATTAATCAAGTTAAAGAATTTAATATTTATTTAATATTTTTGTATATTTATTTAATATTATAAAGTTTTTCTTTTAGCCCATTCATAATATGGATGAAATGTGGTGAAAAAGGTTTCAAAATAAATGCAATAATGTTATACCAATATTACAAAATTTCGAAGACAATATGTAAATATTATAGTAAATTTATTAATATTATGGTTATTATTAATAAATTTAATATATTATTCAATGATTAATTCTATATAATTTCATTTAATAATTTTCTAATTTAATTTTTAATACAGATTCAGGTTTCAGGAATAAAATCAAATAATAACGAAATTTAAAAAAAGGTTTGGTATTACAAACATTAATTTTACAAATACAATAAGATACAAAATAAAAATAAATAGAATAATTTAATAATTAATATAAATGTAGGATAATTGATCTTATATTGTGAAACAAAATCTAAAATATCAAATAAAAAAAAATAAAAATTAAACATTTTATATTATTTAATATTTGTGTTATGTTTTTTTTTTTTAAATTTTGAATTAAATTGAATTTTTCTTTTGCTTTTTAAAACATAAATATTAATATTCGTTTCAATTAATTTTAAGATATTTGTAATTATAGTTCAAATTATTAAATAATTTTTACATATTCAAATTATTTTATTGGCGCAATCAATCAATAGTTTTCAATTTTTTGATTTGATTTTTTATTGAAATTTTAATTATTAATTATTTTGTTTTGTAAATAATTTAAATATTTTCTCTATTTTGAAGTAACTATTTTTTCAATTAATTCAATTATTCATTATGGCAATTCTAAAATTATCTTATCATAATTACATAGATTATTTTTGTTTATATTTTGTTTCTTTTTTAATACAATACATATTTTTATGGAATTTTTATATTATTTGTTCTTAATATAAATTAAAAATTATTTCAACACTGCACCATTAAATTATGTTTCTTTTGTTTTATTTTTTATGTTAATTAATTATTATTGATTTTCTTTCATATATATTCCTATCTAATTAAAATTAAAAAGAAAAAAAAAACAAAAAATACTAAATTTAATTTTTTTTAACTAAATTGTAAGAATTTGCTAAAAATTTACATAATATGGGTATTTTTTTTTTATAAATTAAAGAAGAAATATCTATAATATTGTGATCAGTACGAAAAATGAAAATTTTTATAAATAGAGCAAAATGTTTTTTTTTTTTTCAATGTATTTTTATATAATTATATTATATTTTGCTTTTTTAAATTCATATAAAGTATTTAATATAGATTTAAGTAAAAATTATTTTAAAAAAGAATTTTTTAAATATCTTTGTCATAATAATATTTTTATGTATGTAGCTATCTATGTAATAATATCGTAAGATTTTTATAATGCTAAAATTACTTCTTTTTAAGAATTTGTTTGTTTTTTAGCAAAATATAATTATTATAGTACAATTAAGTCTTAAGATTAAAATATTATTTTTTCTTTTAGATATGAAAAATGTACAAAAAATATAAGAATTTTTTAAATATTTATTATTATAATTTATATATTTATAGTTTTTTTTTTAAATAGAATAAGCAACAAATTTTTATTTTAATACAAAATATAAAAAAATAAAGCTATTAAAATAAAAATATATTATAACTTTAAGAAGTAAGAGAGAAAAAAGTGATGCATAATATAAGAGTTTCAATTTATTGAGAATGAACAGCAGTGTGAATGGAAATGAACAGTAAGAGTATCTGAATTTAACTGAACTGTAAACAACTTTTCTAAATAATTTATTGATTTTTTATTTGCATACATAACATTCTGTTAAATATTTGAAAAACTGTTCAAAATTTTATACTTTTCTATTCATTATTTTAAAAGAGAGGGGTTTTTAATTTTGTTAAAATAAAATTTAACTGCTATGACTGCAAAAAATAATTATGTAAACTATTCATTCGCTGTTCAGTGCTCTTCTCACAAAATGTTCATTGTTCATCTGTGATGAAAAGATTAAATAAAATCAATGTAAATTTTTAAATTTTTTGTGTTGCTTCTTTAAATTTTTTATATAATTTTTATCTAAAAAGTATTAAAAAATTAATTATTTATTTTATATTGTTATATATATTTTCATATACAAATAAAAAGAATTATTTTCATAATCGCAAATTTTAATTATTTTTTTCATTTTCCTATTTTTTTCCTACTATTTTGCAGTGTTCGCTTGAGAATAAATTCCTACATTCATAATTATTTCTTTTTTTTTTTTATTTTTTCATTGACTTTCGCGAATTTTTTACTTTCTTAATTATTTTAAATAATTTTAATTTTTACACGAGATTACTTTTTTTTAAATATACTTATACATATTATTATTTTTATGTTTTTTTAATGCTATTTCATTTTATTTTAAGTAAAGAATAATCGGAACATATAATATAACTATATAGATCTTATAATTATTTATTATATTTTATGATAATTACTATACAGCACATCCAGGTCGTGTTCCATACATCGCTTTCAATTCGGGATATATAATTTTTTTAATTAGTTGATTTGTTTTTGTTGCTAGCATTGCTCTTCTTGAATCCTTCTTTAAAATTTTTATACCTGGTTTATGTACTAAGAATGCATTATCTAATATATGGAATTCATAATCTAATGCACATAGTGCATAACCCTGTTTTAATGAAAACAAAAAAAAAAAATATATAAAATTAAAATAAATTTAAAATTTTAAAAGAATATTTTATAATAAATAAAATATTGAATACAAAAAATATTATTATAAATGCAACTAGAACCGTTTCAAATTCTAGACAATATCCTAAGTGTCTTTCCTGAACAAATTATAAATAATTAAATTATATTAATATAAATGTATTAAAATTATATTATGTTAAAAAAAATAAGAAGTAAATAAAATTGATCGATCACTTATATTTTTCACTTCATAATAACTTGAACAATTAAAACAATTTTAAAAAAAAAATTGTATTTTAGAAAATTATAAAACAAACCTGAGTCATTTTATCACTTTTGCCTTCCCAACTTAATCGTTCATCGTAATGGGGATCAGCATGTGTTCCAATATAAATTGGTTCCCAATGTACAAAATACCCGACACGTTTACCTATATGAAAAACACCTAATTCCTCAGTTTCATTTGTTGCCATCCATTCTTTTGATTTTGGAACACCATGACAACTTGAGCATACTCTCTTATGAAATGGAATTGCTTTATTCGTTCTTAATAATTCTTGAAGTTCAGTTTTATCTTTTGGTACTGGAACGGTACTTTCAACTTCGAAAATTGACAGAGGGAAAACTCTAAAATTAATTAAACAAATAAAAAGAATTTAAGATGATTTAGAGTATTTAAAATAAATTGCATAAATTTAGGATAATATAAAGTTTAAAATATCTCAAATTTTTTGAGTGATATTTTATTTTAAATTTTTTGAGCAATTTTTTGAGTAGAAGAAAACAATTATCATGAATTAGACTAATTTCCACTGTGTTTGTATTTTTATAAGAAAAATTACCTTGGAGATTTTCTCTGTAAGTATGCATCATTTCTTGCTATCATTTCTAAAAATTTTTTAACTAATCCTGGATTCGGATATAATTCAATATCACTTGCTAATATAAAATGTGTTAAAGCTGCATCTCTTGCAATATTTCGTCCAACATTAACTGGATATAATAATTTTTTCTGTGTTTTATACAAATGTGAAGATGTTATATTAATAAATGGTGGCGATAATGTGCAATTATATGGCGTTGCTAAAACTTGATCATATTTCGGTACATTCTTTGGGATATGTTTCGTACTAAAATATATATGAAATGTAACCAATTGTCTTACTAAATTACTTTCGGGTAAACAGTCTCTTAAATATTTTATTGAATTAACAGTTGGTTGAAAATCACCACCTGGTGCATGTATTGCTATACTAACAGGTGCATTCCATCTTAAAAATTTTAAAAAATAAAATTTTTAGAATTAATTATAAATAGAATTAAAGAATATAATATTGAGGAAATACAATAAATACCTTTCTAATAAAGGAATTAAATTATCTAAAAATGTATAATCCGCATGTGTAGTATACGTAACTGTTTCGTGGCACTTTAATTCACCATGATCAGCTCTAATATAATTTTTTAATACCCAAAAATCACCTCGCTGTAATGTTTCTGGTATATAATCACGATCATGGCACTTAAGTAATGAACGTAATCGTTCATCAAAATCTTTTTCATCTCCACTAACAACATAATTATCAGTATTTGAATTATTTACAAAACCACCATTTGGATCTGGTTGACCAGCAATTTCACTTTGACTTTTCTCTTGTGCAGCTATTTCATTTGAATCAGTTGGCACTTCAAAACGTTTTTCATCAGCAGGTGATGCCACAGGATTTTCTCCATTATTTGGATTAACAACAACCCCTGTACCAGCAACTGCTGAAGCAGGAGCACCACCACTACCAGCAACATTATTACCAGCATTAGCTGTATTATCTTTTGATAATATATTACTATTATGTTGTAATTGTTGTTGTTGCTGTTTTTGACTAACTACTTGTATTATAGGTGGTGCAGCGATTTCTTCATTTGGTCCTGGTATTGTTTCTTCATCAATTTGAGCAATTTTATTTAATTTATCACTATCCTAAAATATAAATAAAAAATATATTATATTATCAAAAATTATAATATGATTTATATAAATATTAATTAAATATTTATTATATTGAAAGACCTCCAATTTTATTGATTTATATTTCAACAATATGTATAATGAAATAATGTAATATTAAATTTAATTAAATTTCCATAATCTGAACGTATAATGAATGATTCTTTTGTAATATATTGTTAAACCAAAATTACTCATTAAATTTATATTATGTTTTTATAAATAATTAACATAATAAAGCGAGTTTAAATATAAATTCTGTAATTATAATTAATATATTGTATTGTTAAAATATATTTTGGAGTATAATAGTATTAAATGAAAAAGGGCTAAATTTAAGTTAATTACATCTATACGTGCATATTATTAAATCATGTATTGTATTTCATTATTATTTATAGATAAAGTAATTAAGAGCCACAAACTTATAGTTATTGTGTAATAATTATTTGAAAATTTTTTTATTACTTATACAGTTTATGAACATTTTATATTTAAAATAAAAACAAAATGCAAGATAATAATTAAAACCATTTATTTTAACTTTAATTTAGTCTTTTGCACACAGAAAGTTTTAATAAAATTTCATTTTAAATTCAAAAAGAAAATTTTGTGGTTTTATTTTCAATTTTTGATGTGCAAAAGTTGCTAATATCCAATGACCAGCGATTACTTATAATAACTTGTAATAAGCAAGTCGCGAAATTTTTAATTAAATATTACCTTTATGATGTGGAATAATTTCATTATTTATCATTATTTACTGTAATCTATTAAATGGAGCAAGTAATTATGAAATTAAAATATTACATTACATATTTACATTTTAATGCAACACAATATTATTTTGTAACTATTTATTGTTTACTTGCTCACATAATTATCTTCAATATCATCCGGCAGCCCATATATGGGTCTTAATTCAAAAAAAAAATTTTAATACATATTGTATTAACATTTTCTATCGATCTATTAATTTGAAAAGTAATTTATTTCTGTTATATTATTAAAATATAATCTTTAATAATTACCATAAATTATTCTGTCATTATAAAAGGATAATAATTATATTTCAATATTTTTATCATAAAATTTTTCAATAAACTTAAGCACAATATTATACAGATATAAACGAAGTTATAGTACATACTATATATACAAATATTTAAAACTAACCTGTTCTTTAACTGGTTTATTACCAGAATTTTTTGATGAAGAAACTATTTTCATAATAACATCACCACCTGTACCATCATTATTAATTCTAATATTATCATCATTACTATTACTATCAATTAATTTTTGTTGTTGTTGATGTTTTAAATGATGATGATGATGTTGTTGTTGCTGATGTTGATGTTGCTGTTGTTCTTGTTCTTGTTTATTATTATTATTTTCAATTATATTCGATACAACTATTTGTCTTCTATTATTATTATTACTATTTGTATTACTATTAGGCACATCATCTGCTGATTGTATAAAATATGCTGGACCGGTAGCAAAATTACCACCTCCACCAATCATTACATGACTACATATATATAAAATAACAGCAATATTTATTAATATACTACATCTAAGTAACCAATTACGTCTCGTAAACATTTTTATTTTTGTAATAATTTAGTAATTCTTTTTTTTTTAATTTTGATTTATAATAATTAAAATAAAATATAAAATTTGAAAATAAGGCCGATAATAAAAATAATGAATTGAAAGGTAGATAATTGATAATTTTATTTTGTGAATCCAAAATTATTTTATTTTTATATAATATGAGCTTTCCCAGAATTGTCCTAAAATTAAAATAAAATAAAATCAAAAATTTAGTACATAAAATTATTTATTTTAAAATTTTTTACTTACAATTGTGCAATTATAATGAAAATTTCATTGAATTTTTAATTTCATTGATTTTCTTGTAATTTATATATAGATTTTTAATGTTATTTCCAATATAATGTTTTAATGATAACTGCAACAACTTGTTCAAATTTCCGGAATAATTTTCTTGAATATTTGTAGATATTCTTGTGAATTTTTTTTCAACAGTTGGAAGTGTACTATTATATAATATATTTAATAGAATTTTAAATATTTTAGTCTGGATGTTGGTTGAAACTGCGTATTTTTTATACGTAATAATTTGGCATTTAAAAAATATTGAAGGAACTCTTTTTGAAGAAAAGCGCGATATAGATGTTTATATATGCGATTCGACAATATAATAGTAATGGATGTATGTTATTTTATTGATGGCAATTCTAATAGTGTTTTTATTTTAAAATATTATTTTATATTATATTTATATAGACAATATTTTATTAAAAATTCAATTGATTATAGTTATAGCTAGCTACGAGCAAAAAAGGTAAATCAGTATATGTATATATAGGTGTTTTTTTTTTATTATATTTATAGTTTTAATTATTTTTAAGTTATATAAGATTAATTAACTTTTATTATAGAGAAAGTGCCAGAAAATATTTGAATTTTTGTGTGAATTTAAAAAGTTTTTTGTTTTTCCCTTTATTTTATTCTATATTTTTAAGAATATTTTCTTTTGAAGCTCTGGTTTGTTCAACGTTCATTTGAAAATTTTTTTATATTATTATTTTGATATTGTTATATTATATGATTTATTATTTTAATTCCTTTTTCTAAAATTTGCTTATTTCTTTAAGTATAATGTTAGTCTTGTATCGCAATTTATAACGTTGTAAGCGAATATTTTTGTTTTTATTCTTGACTATTATTAAAATCTTATATAGAAGAAGCAAAATATTTTTTGTTTATTGTTGAATTTAAAGTTGCGTTTTTAAAAAATTTATAAAATAGTTGAATGGAATTTAATGAATTTTGCTATTTTCTGCTGCTGTTTTAGTTGTTCTTTTGTTGTGAAGAAAAACCAATAAATATTTTTGTTTTTTGATGAGGTAAACATGGAAGTTTGTATTTAGGCCAAAAACTTTTTTAATATATAGATTTATAGTTGTAAACAGGTACTAATGTGAATATAATTATATGCTTGTATATAAAGTGTTTAATACGTCTGAAATTAAATAAAAAACAAAAAATAGAATGAAAAATTAGTTTAATTAATTTTAATTGTATTTAATTTTAATTGTGTTTAATTATAACATAGTATTTAATTTTATATATGAGCTTTAATATGCTGTTATGACCGGAATATCGACATTAAGGGTTATAACTTGGCATTAAAATTTCAGGAGAATGGGACATTCCGCTAACGATCTCTGCAGGAGTCGCTGTGACGAGTAGAAAGAGGAGACGATAATTTATTTTCTTTGTTCATGTTCAGCTTTAGCACGGGGAAGGCAGAATAACCTTGGATTGCATTCCTTTTTGTGAGTTGCAAGCCCGGCGAATGTAAATTCCAGGAATCTACAATGATTTATTTAAGACTCGGGTTGATTCAAATGAGGATCGGAATATGTAGATTCAGTTGTATTACAAAGGGCGAATCTAGGCTAAGTGTATTTTTTTTATAGCCGTGTCAACCTAACTTAACCTAATCTATTCAAAAACTTAAATGATTTTTACATTAAATTGTGTAAATAACTTTATAGAGTTGATAATACCCTAATATAATAAAGCTCATTATATGTTTCCCAAAAAAAAAGTTATAAATTCTTCCCAAAAAAATCTTCTTCAATGAATTTTGATATGGTACTTAACCGGTTAATTTTTGTTTAATTTTTGTTTTAAGATTATGTTAAAGAATTACTCTATCCGTCTATCATGAGACTATGATAATATTTTAATATTTTATTCTTATGTGATTGTTGAATAAGGCTACTATCAGCAAATTAATCAGTGTTTTTGTTACAAAACATAGATGAGACACAAAATTTAAATATATACCACTATTTATGATGGAAATCACTCTTAAAACTATGAAAAAGACCTTTAAAAATATTTTACTCTATTTTTATTTTTAATAACCTACACATGTTCCGAATCATTTTAAACAGTCAAGTCAATTAGAAATTCAAATAGAAGATAATTTTTAATTACAAATTCTTTTTAAATCGTATATGTATTTGAAAATTTCGTAAATAAATTGTATATTATAAATTTTAATACATATTCATTATGCATATAATTCTAAAATCTAATTTTATATAACAATGTAAATTTGGAAAGTGTAAAGAACTTTTAAGAAAAACTTAGCAAAAATTTTGACAAGAAAAACAAGTTTGTAATGTTTTTTTTCTTTTGCCTTTTGGGTTCAACCTAAATTTTTAATGATTTTTGCAATTTAAATATTCAACTCATTAAAATGAGTATCTAGAATGCTTTTAAAATAAGAACAAAAACCGAAAGGTAAGAGTAAACAAAAGAAAATTAGCAAAAAAAGAAAAATAAGAAAAATGTATGCGAATAAAGGTGTACGCGATTAGTAAAAAGCAAATCATTATTACTGTACAGTTGCTGTTATACATTTAATGATGTATAACGTAAATATATAAACGCGAATATGTACATACAAACGAAAAAATTTGATTTTTTTGTAAAAACTCTAACAACATTCACACATAGTTGAATATTTATTGAATTAATGGAATTCGTATACTTAATTTTATGGTGAGAAACTGTAAAAGTTTTGCAAAACTTCTTGCTAAACTTATTTTAAGAACTTTTTTTTTTCAAATCTCTTTAACGAGACAATTATATGTGGTAAGAGAAAAAAACCACTTCAACCACTCAAAAACAACAGAAAAAAAAATCTAAATTTTCATAAGTAATTTGTAGATATGTGAATGTGATTAATCATACATTTAATTTGATTGACTCATAAAATTTGTTGATTTTTTTGTTCAAAAATAATATTAACACTTTAAAAATTCTTGTAAATTTCACGGTGTCATACATTTAAAAAAAAATCAGTCATTGAACTTTATTTTTAAATTCTTAAAAAGTTTTTCCTTACAATTTCTTTACATATTCTTATATTATGAACAACATATTTGTGTATTTAAATGTAAAATACTTGTTTAAAGTTTTCACACTTTTTTTCTTACTTAATAATATGGTTAGTTTACTTAAATTCGGGTTATAATAGTAATAATAACAACAAGAAATTTAGGTATTTGCACTTAAAATTTACATTGTACTGTTACTTTTAGATATGCATATATAGACACTAAGTACAAAAATTTTCAATTCCTTGCATAACACACTTGTATGCAACTTAAAAATCTAAAAATAGCTTGTACATAAATAAAAAAAAATTGTACATTTTTGATATTAAACACAAAATGTATATGTACATACTTATTAAAATTTTTAATTGATACTATAATTGACACTCTTGTGTTTAAATACAATTCATATAACATTATTCTGTTCTGGAGAATTCTGGAGAAATGCAAAAATTTCTTAAATAGAAAGTATAGTGAGAAAAAAATTAATATACAACAGTATCCAAAAACGTATAAACTGTTAAGCTACAAAATAAAAATATGACCACTGCAGAGAGAATATTCCTAATCTCATAAGAAAAAAGAATAACCAACTAAAATTGGATTTTTTTAGATTTGTATTTTAAATTATCATTAATTCTCGTGCAATTTAAATTCAAATTTTATGGTATTAATTAAATTAATTTTGCTTTTATTTTCTTCTATGAAAACATTCAATTTAGACTCAAGTATGTACAATTAAAATTTAATGGTTATCAAAACAGAACTTAAATAATTAAATATTTTTCAATTTTCATACAAAACAACTGAATACCAATTTTATGTATTATATCTGCTATTTAATTTTAACAAAGAGTAACAAATTTTAACAAGAGTTTCTTCTCATACTAAAATTATTTTGACTATAAGGGTTCAGATAGGCATGCAATTTTTAGTTTTTCAACTGCTGTTTGATTGTAGAATCATTGCTAGCTAATCTAGCCAACTAAACTAATGTGTCCAATTCAAATCGAATGCGTTAAATAAAAATTGTATGCGATCATACAGTTGCATATGTGCGTGCTGGAATATTAATCTACAAAATATAAATAAGCAATCAAACAGTTGCAAAACTAAAAATTGCGTGCATGCTTGGGCCATAAGGCGGCATTAAGGACTTTTGTACTTCTATTCAGCATTTTGCATTTATTTTGCTTAAATTAATTTTTTTTTTTTTTGATCAAGCACAACAAATTCATGAGCATTAATGTAAATTAAACTTTAATCAAATCAAACAATATAAATGATCATTTAAAATCTGACAAAATATTATAGTTTGTAAATTTGTATTTTATTTCTAATCACGAACAAAATACTATAAAAATGTTAAACTTTTATCAAAGAATTTTAATTTTCTATAAATCTGTTAAATTATAAATTTTGTTGTATATCAAAATCTTACAATAATGTAATAAAAATTGTGAAAGTATTAAAAAAGTTTTTTCAAAAATTAATAATTTTCTTTTCATAATATTTTGTTATATTAAATTCTCATTCTTTTCATTTTGCTTATAACTGTTATAATATCATATACGTGCTCTGATTAATAAATTCCTTATTATGGTACTTAAACATTTTATGTGAGTTACAAAAACAACTACAATTATTATTAAATATTTAAGATTTTGTTTTCATTTTTTATTTTCAGGAAACTAAATTTGAAGAATAAAAAATAAAGATCAGATTTAGCTTATTTTTAATTTACCACCTTCTCTTAAACTTAAATTATATCGTTAAATTTCGTACAAAATTTAAATTCGAGAACCACCACTTGTTTTAACTTTTAATATAAAAATTTTTTGAGAATAATTTTAATTCTGAAAAAAAAAAATTAAATCTATAAATTTAAAATATTTTCTCAATTTTTTGTATTCCATCAACTCTCAATAAAGTGAAAGGTTAGTTTTTCTCTTCTTCTTTTCCTCTCTTTTATTTTTTATTAAAAATTATATCACGTGATTTTTATAAGACTACTATATGGATATTAAGTAAAATTACAAAACCAAAGAATTAGAAGAAAAAAAAAATTTTCCTATTATTTTATAATTTTCTCATAATAACATCCTTTATAGTAACAAATTACGATAATCAAAACAGAACAACAACAAAATAAGAAAATAAAAAATTTATTGAGCTTTTCTTTTTTTCTGCTATATTTTTATTCTTTTTTTTTTTTTAATATCCTTCCTATTCAAGTTCAAAACCAATTTCAAAACTTAAAGGATATATGTAACTATAAATATTGACTATTATCAATAGATTGAAAATGTTAGTATAAATGATGTATGTAGATTTATATACAAAAACAATAAAAATAGAGAAAGAGAAAAAGAAAAGAAAAAAAGAAGAAAATTAGGAAAATAAAAAACGTCCGCAAGAATAACAAAAAAGGATGTTAAATGTACGGCGTTGTTTTATAATGAACATCTAAAAGAGAAGAAAAAAAAAAAACATTAATGAAAAACAAAATAGAAATATAAGAAAAAAGAAGAACAAGAAGGATAGAAAAGAAGAAAAATAAAAAAAAAAAAACCGAATTAAATAAACTTGAAACGAAAGGCAAACATTCTCAAGGCTATAATATTATAGAATCCTCCTCAATCTATTTATTTTCTACTCATCTCCTTTAATTCTCTTATTATTATTTTTCTTTGTAAATATACAATTTAATATATTATTTATATTCTATACGTCATGTCCATGTATTATTAACAACTAATGTGTATAAATAATAGATAATAAATTTGTATATATTTTCTTTATATAAAAATATAAGCGAAATTATATATAAAATAGAGCGCGAATTTATATTAAAAAATTACACATTTATATTATTAGTTTGGTTGCAAATATTATATGACTATCGCGTGGCATGTGTGATATATTATAACATTACATAATGTATTCTCATTCTCTTTATATTTAACAAAATACTATAAGCATTTCACTATACTGACATTATAATGTTGTTCTTGCCATACTTATGATATGACATTAAAAGTATTTGCATACATGTTTTATGTATATTAGCCACAGGCGTCAAGAATAAGAGAAAAAAAAATACAAA